TCGCGTGTTTCAGGCAGCTCCCAGAGAAGGTACGTGCGCCGGCCGTCGAGCGGCCGTTTCCTCCTGTTCCCGCCTTCCGGGGAGCAGCAGGCACCGGGACTCCGCTGGGAGATGGGACTCAACCCACCCGTGCTCCGTGGACTTGCTCCTGGCTGTTTGGGCAGCTCCCTGTGACAATTATCCCTGTATCGCTTTGCACGCTCTCCTTTGCAGCCCGAGAACACGTATCTCTGCCAGATCTACAACCTGACGCTCCTCTGCATGGAGGATTATGTTGTTGAACCCCAGTCGGTGCAGTTCCTGGTGCAGCATGGCTTTGACTTCAACAAGCAGTACTCCCAGGGGATCCCTTACCACAAGGGCAATGACAAGGTACAACCGTGGCTTGCTCTGCTCCAGGCTTCTGGGGAGGTTGCTGCCTTCCCCTGGTCCCGGCATCTCCCTCGCACAGCTGCTGAGTGAAGACGGGCTCACACTAGGGTCTTGAGTGCAGCATTATCCCTCTCACCTCCCTGCTGTTTTATATCCAGGCTGTCACTTGTTGTAGTTGCTTTTCCAAATATTTGGGCCTCTGTTTGGTGAGAGCAAGTCATAGCTGTAGGCAGTACTCTGGTACAGCAGGCTCTGAGGACTTCCCGGGGTGATGGCAAGTCAAGGCGCTAAGCTAAGGCTCACTGAGTATCCTTCTTCTTGCAGGGCAATGAGAACCAGAGCCAGAGCGTTCGGACTTTTTTTCTGGAGCTCATACGAGCAAAGAAGCCTCTCATTCTCCATAATGGCCTGATTGATCTGGTCTTCCTGTACCAGTGCTTCTATGCTCACCTCCCAGACAACCTCGGCACCTTCACTGCCGACCTCTCGGAAATTATATACGATACCAAATATGCTTCAGAGTTTGAGACTCGCTTTGTAGCATCCTACTTGGAGTATGCCTACAAGAAGTGGTGAGCGGCGCTCTGGTATTTAAAGCTTATGGGAGGAAAGGCAAAGGGAGTGTCAGCATTTTGTTTGTTTGTTTTTCCAGGCAAGGGGGTTGGCTCTTTGTATTATCCCAATGAGTGAAGAAAGGTGCTTTTCAGGTAACTCTGCCCCGTGCTCTTCCCATTTCTAGGACGGGTGCTGAGTGCATAAGGGTGCATTTTATAATATGCCTTATCTGTTCAGTGAGCAGCTGCTGAAAGAGGATTTCTGTCTTCCACTGGCAGCAGTTTTGACCACAGAGTGACCTGATCTAACTGAAAAATAATTGATTCACTGCGCAGCCCTGGTCCAGCAGTGCCACAGGGCTATGGCAGGAACACGCGCAGAAGAGAGACCCTTAAAATTCAGCTAGAGAGCAAACGAAAACAGGGCTCTGCCCACAGGGTCTGCTAGTTATAACTTGGTTTTGTAAGGGATGGTGCAGTTAAAGGGCGAGCACTCGCTGCACCTCCTGACGCTGACCAGCTCATCCTGGACACACATCCTGCACGTGACACTCGCGTGCGGCTGGCTACAACTCCCATCGCTTTCCTTCCAAGCAAAGGTTGTGCTTTTGCTCCAGGGTGTCCGGTCTTGCTTCCTGCCTCCAGCTTTTCATGGATATCTTCCAGGCAGACACGTTAGAAGCAGAGATGTCTGTCCACTTCACGTGTCAGTCTGGCCCCTGGTTCTGCACTCCCCACACAATCTAAACAAGCTCCTGGCAGTGATACAGCCCCTTGAATCTCCATTAAACTGAAGTCACACTCTATGCAGAGGAGAAATGGTATTTTTAGTGACTGTTTTATATCAGGAAATGCCATTTTGACAGGTCTGAAAACATTCAAGATGGCTGTTCTCAAACACGAGAATGCTTTGTTTTGACAGGATGAAAATACTTTTTAAACTGACCTCTTAAATGTTTTAACCAAGTCTAGTTACATGGAGCTTTCCAAAGGTTTTGGGCCTTCTAGCTAGCTCTTGAGACAAAACAGTTCTTTTCTCATGAGATGGAAAATGTTTCCTTGTTGTCTGCATTGCCCAGGTTCGACCTGTCTGGGCGGTGGCTGCTGGCTGCTCTACGTGATACCTCATTTTGGAGTATTTCCTCTTTGTCCATTAACATTATTAAGACTAACACATATCTTAGTGCCCTTACTATTTAAAACCAAGCTATGTGTCCCCTTCTCCCGTAGCTTCACCAGAGACACTGTTGTCCCTGCCTGTATGTCTGTATAAGAGAAACCAACCTTTAAATCAGCAGAGAAGCAACTACTTACTAAAGCTATTCTCCCGGGACTGAGTTTCTTTCCAGCAGGCTGTCGAGCTGGCTAGAGCTCAAGAGCAGGAAACTAATGTTGAGACTTGCGGAGAGCAGCGTGTTTGCACCAGCTCCACGCGGTGGTACCTTCAGTGAGTTAACTGCAGTAACTGTGTACTCTTGTTCCAGCAAGCGAGAGAACTGCAAGCTGAAGGACTCCAGCGGCCAGCACCTCACTGTTGAGTTCTGCAACTACCCTGCCAACATGTCCTGTTATATCGACTATCGCCACTGCTCTCTGGAAGAAGAAAGCCACAATGTGGGAGGGGGAAATAAAGTGCCTGTCTGTGAGAAATTTTCGGTAAGTAACACGAATCCCAGCTTCCTTCCTGGCTCCATGGAAAGAGCCACATGTGGCCAGAGCAGGAAGTGGTAGGAAAGCACCTGGGAACTTCCCCTTGCTTGCTTCACAGTACAAGGAAGATTTTCAAGCTTCAGGTGGCTTCATGACGGAAAGGGCAGCAGCATGCTCTGTTTGGAGGCGGTGAATTCCACAGGCTACATTAGACACCAAGATTCAGAAAGATTATATGGCCCTAAATAGTGGGATGGTATGAGATACAGTACCCATTGCTGTCTTGGGAGGGCTGTAAGTTCTAAATTAGTTTGTCTTGTCCTCTGAGCAAGAAATGCCACCTCTTCCCTCCCCCGATCTTGATTAGGTACAAAAAAATATTACCTGTCTGCAGCTTCTGGGACTGTGGTACGGTGTGATTCACAGCATCTCGGTTCCTGGCGCTGCTACAGCAGAAAACAAAGAGCCCATCTGATCAGACCATAACTGGTTTCAGATGCTTCAGGGAGAAAAGGAACTCTTCCATATGTTGCACATTACTGTCACAGAACATAGGTTGGGGAAAACTCTGGAAGTTTATCATCCAACCACCAACTTGTTTGGTGAATTTTGAAAATCTCTAAGGACAGAGATTACAAAACCCGTCCAAGCCCCAGTTCAGAGTTCGACCACTCATTGCGAAAAATGTTTTCCTATATATCTAGTCAGAATTTCCCCTGACTTGTTACCACTTCACCTTTACCTGTGCTCCCCTCAGAGGAGTTTAGCTCCATCTTTTCTATAACCTCTGCTTTAGGTAGCTGCAGACAGCAACTAGATATCCCCATCCCCTTAGTCTCGTCTTCTCCAGGCAGAACAAACCCACCTTCCTTGGCCTCTTCTCATACCTTGTGTGCTGCATCTTGACAGCCCCCTACTGCGCTCGCTGCAGTTGGTCAGTGTGTTGTGGGGCTGTAACTGGACACGGTGCTCCCAATACAGCCTCACAAGCCCTCAGTAGAGGGGAGTAATTAGCTCTGCTCCATGTTATGGTGATAAGCTGCTCTGACCAGGAGGCTGGTGGCTACAGACTTCTCTCTTTCTCCCTAGGCCTATGGCTGGTGTCCAAAAGGGGTGAAGTGTCCACAGTCTCATAACATTGACCTCATAATTGATGAGGATGACAAGCTTTGGGAGGAGAAGCGGAAGAAACGGAAGCACAAATGGAAGCGTCGGAAGAACACAGAAGAGCCTGCTAAGGCGTTTGAACAGGAAAGCTCAGGGAAAGAAATGGAGCTAGCTCAGAATGGGGAGGAGGGACCGCCACGAAAACAGAGCTGCTATGAGCCTGCAGCTGCTACAGAGCTGGCAGAGATCACACCCAACAGTGAGGACAGGCCACTGGAGGAGAACTCCATGGACGTGGAACCAGAGGTCAGCTCAGACACCAGCACACAACGGGAAGAGGACCTGGGGAGCACTGAAGGAACTGCTGCCCAGGTAGCAGCTGCTGTGAGCCCTTCTGCCAAGGGAAATGCCTCTGACAGTGACCAAGTGGAGGGGAGGCCAGAGGTTCCCGCTGGGGTGGGCTCAGTCAATCACCCAGACATCCCTGAGACTGAAGCAGCATGTGCTGCAGCACAGCAAAAGGAAACCCATGGTCCACCTTCACAGGGCGGCACACACCGAGCTGGCTTTGATGCATTCATGACTGGCTATATCATGGCTTACGTCTGGATGCTCAAGAAAGGAAAAAACACGGACGCTGGTGCAGGGCCCTGGTTGCCAGACTGCCACAATAAACTGTACCTCAGTGGGAAATCGGTGCCACTTCAAATAGTGAAGAGCTTGTTTTCTAAATCTTCCAAAGCTCACAGCCAGAAGATGAAGGTGGCCTGGGCCAGTGGATAGAGCTAGAGGACCCCTCCCTGAACTGGGCTTTTTTTTTTTCCCCTCAAGTTTTGAAGTTCTTTATTCCATCAAGAACTGACCAGATGAGGAGCAAATTTCTTACTCCTGTTTTTGTTTTAACTTCTGACCGATTAAATTGCTCTCAGTTGGAGTTCCCCCTGGTGTTCCTTAGTGGCACGTTGGGCTGTGAAGGCAGGGGTGAGGTTGCAGAAGAGGGAGGAAAAGCACATCTCTCCAACTGCACCCAGGACTGCAAGTTTCAGTTCAGTGCTCTGCATTCAACATGGGTTTTGAAAAAACAGCCTAGGGTTGCCATATGCTAGCTACGTTAACATGCGTTTCACTTTTTGCAGAAGATGAAGAGCGTAATCACTTGGTAACAAGAGGAGACAGAGGCTAGAGCTTCCCATTTAAACTTCTTAGCATGTTAGAGCCCCAGCCTCCTCCCCAGATCTTGCCTTTATCCTTACTGCACCTACAGCCTTACTACATGCTGCCGCTTAACCTAGTGGTTTAGGGTGGGATAGACCTTTTCAAAGGAGCATGTGCTAAAGGTCAAAGTCTACCTACAAAAACACATCTGAAAGCTCCAAGCTGTTGACCCATACAACCAGCTCAATAGAAAATGCTATAAACAGTCACTGGAGAAAGATGTGATGCTTCTGCCAGACACCAGATGAAAGCAGGCTAGCTCTTCAGGCAAAGCATACATTTTTATGAACGTTTAGTCAAGCATTACTGCTTTCAGTCACTGCTGGTAGGGTAATTCCCTATAACCCTCATTATTATTTCCTGTCTTTCTGAGGAAGTCAAGAAGGAAAAAAGTGTTGTGTTGTTTTTTGGGGGTTTTTTGGGGTTTTTTTTGTTTTTAAAAAAAGACAGTCACTGTCCCATGCACCTGGGAGAACTATCCCACTTCATGTTTGTACTTTACCTTAATCTTGGTTACAGCATACATAGACAAGACCTTTGCTCCTACAGGAGGGAGGGGATGGAAAAGCTTCTCCTCCCAAAGGGCCAGCTGATTCTAGTGCAGGGTAACTGCATGCAGAACCGAGCCACAGTAGGTCTTCAAACTTCTAAGTAAGGGGAGATACAGTGGGACTTAAAGCCAGATGTGGTCCTCTTAAACTGCACTGCTTCCTGTGCTACTGAAGCTATTCTGTAGGGCTAGGACAGAGCAGCCGCAATGGCAAGCTCCCCGCAGGCTGAGTGCTAGCAAAAGCCATTTTGTCTTGTAGGTCACAAGTTACTGCCTACTCTTCAGAGCGCTATAAGGCAGAGCAGAAGTAGTCCTCAAGTCTCATGGATTTAATAGTGTAACACTTCAGTAAGATGCAGGAGAAGTAACACTGAGTAAGGATGGCAGTTCTTCCTTTTTTATAATTCAGCACCAAGTAATAGTGGATATGATCTCAAGGCAGGTATTAATGTCATCCATAGCTTAAGTAAGCATTTGAGCCAGCTTTTTTAACCTAGAGTTGCACTCTTAATCACAAGACTCAGGTCTTGATTTTATTTTTATTTTGAAAGCAAGTTGGGAAAGTTTACAAAACCTGACCAAGAAAAAATTACGAAAATATTTAACTGGATTCATCTTTGGTTACTTCTTATTGCAGTTCCAATAAAACATACACCATTTCTATAGTTCAAAAAAAGTCAGAAGGTCAATCAACATAAAAACAAGACGTGCTTTCTTTACATATTCATAAATATCCACAATATTAGAAAAGTTGTTTTGCAAAGATTTTTTTTCTGGCAGTGTTAACTTACTATTATACACAGGCTACAAACTTCTTCCTAAGCCTTTAATTACACGTTGAGCTATTTACAGACTGCAAAATATTAAGACGTAAAACTCCTTCATAAATATGAAAATAGATCATCTCGCAAAGATCTTTATACTTAATCAAATATCTGGCTGCCCCTCCTCCCAAAAAAAAGGTTATTTGTTTTGCATAGAAATGTAGTGACATGCAATATAAACAATAGCATTAAGTGCAAACAGGAATTATTCAAGTGTCTTTAGTTGTACTGGCAAAAAATACCAATGTTCTGTTACACATAATACATCAATGCCTCTCCAACAAGTAGAAGTCTACTATAGCCCCTTGTCTGCACTGCTTTTGAGGGGCAGCAATTCACATGCATTCTCTTAGTTGCATTTTATCAACCTGCAACCTCAACAAAAATAGCTTATAACAGACATTTAAATGAATTCAACATAGAAAGATTTAAAGTGAATTTAAAATACCTTTGATCTCTTCAGGGAACTTAGCAATGTGTAGAAAGTGTTTTAAAAGAGCGAGAACTGCTCCCATAAGAAAGTCAAAAATCATGATAAAATCCAATCACAATAAAACTTTGTCACATCACTATAAAACAAGGAGTTTGCTGACCACATGTTCGTATTCATGTTCATCAGTAGCTGTCAGAAAATGGCCCCCAGTAGAAAAGCACCCTCAGGTAGGCAGAAAACCTAGGATTATTTACTAGGCGCAAGCTAGATTTAGCTCTACACAACCAAAGGGATGAGACATAGTGAGTGCCAACTGCATCCAGACCCTTGGAAACACTGGGTTTTAGCAAAAACTTCGCTATTTTATATTGGCCTTTTACTCCGGTTTCATATACATGCCTCTTTTCCCATGCAGACCATGAATCCAGGAAAGGCCTGAGCTGCTATTCCTTGGCATTTCTCTTTCCGACATCTCCACCTCAGTATAAAGAGCTAGAAAAGTTGATAGATGTGCCCTACGCGTGTCAGCTGGCTGTGCTTAGAGTGGACATTAAAGAAAATAAAATTTTAGCCATGCTGCTTTGTAAGAGAGCTATTCAGGGCAGGGAAACATTTTAAGAGACAGTGGTGTAAGAAAATGGGTGAGGTCACTGTGATGGGTACCACAGAGGTACCCCAAGCCTGACTGCACAGGCTTTGCAGTCAGTGTCAGAGAGGGCAACAGGGTTCATGATGAGGTGTCAGCACTGACAACTAGGGCTAATGCAAGCCACAGAGTAGCCAGAGGCATGCGTGTGCTCTCCGATGAGGCTGCAGGGAGTTGTAAGATGCTGGACAGCTTCCTTGCAGCCTGGTGATCCAGAAGTAAACTATTCCTTATTATTGCTTGTTTATCTGAAGTCACACCCTAGATGCATCTTGTGACAACAGAAGCTGGTGCTGATGGTTTCCCTCCTGAAAGATTACAACAGTATAAAAGATAAAAAGAGGAGGGGGGGAAAAAAAAAAAAAAAAAGCAGGCACCAGGCAGTCAACTAGCTGGCAGTTGTGTTCTGCTGACTGTTTCCCTGTCCTCAAAGGAAATTACACACACACACAGTGCCAGCCATACAAGTTGCTCTGCACTCTGCAGACACCAGCCCTGCAGACAGGATACACAAGACAGACTACTCGACAGATCAGCACTTCAAGAGGCAGAGAGGTGTGGGCCAAAAGGGGTGATCTTGGTAAGGACAGGCATTTTCTCTTAAACTGCTAACAGCTGCCTAATCTGGTAGGGACTCTGCTAAGTAACTCAGCAACACTGGGTTTCTCATTTAATTCTTCGCAGCCACTGCAAAGAGGTAACTGCTGCTCGGATTAACGCATACTTCACAAGAGGCAGTCATAATTATAACTCACAGAATAATTACCTACATCTCTGGAAAGATAAGCATCTCAGCCAAGAACGAACTAAGGCTTTCTCCTTCATCCTTTCTTTGAGACAGAAAAAGAGTAGGAGTAGTCTTGCTTCCATCACAGACTAGCTTACGTTTTCCGTCCTTACAAGAGAGCAGGAAGAGAGAACAGGCTACCTGGGTAAAATTCTGGGCTCCACTGCATCACCATCTGCTCAGCAGGCATGCAATGCATACCTCAATTAGGAATGATAATATAGGTTAAAAAAAAAAAAAAACTAAAAATCCATGTTGTTGGGACAATGATAATGGAAAAGGGCAGGATGTTGCACAAAGAACAAGCTTTCCCGTACATCGCATCCCAGAGCGGGGATCTCTGACGCTGGTTCCAGCAAGCAGCATTAAAGCTTATGCTGCTGCTTCTTTCACATATACCTGCTGGTGGAGGGGAAAAAAAAAAGAAAAAAGAAAAAGATCACCCAATTCAGTGACAGGAGAAGCTAATGAAGACAACAGCTGCTTTCTGTAGAAGAAAAAAAAGTTAATTTGGGACAAGCTAATTTTCTTCAGTTTGACAATTCAAAGCCCTTCTGTCAGTCTACTGTCTATCCTCTCCAAGAGCACTTGTGGCTGCAACACTGCTGGCAACTTCCCAAGCAGGGGATTCCTGTCCTCTATCAAGCAGTCTGGTTTTAAATAAGGAGCCATCATTACTGCAGTGATATCAGTGAGATGGGATGTCATACCACAGAAGGAAGTGAATGTGACCCTTCTAGCTTAGTGGTAATAGTCAACTGTGATGTAGATATTGTATTTAATGATGTAGATACTGTATTTAACTAACTATTCTGCAGAAACAGATCATGATGTCCATTCAGCTCTTCAGAGATAAGAGCCCACACCCCCCAAAAGCTCAGTACAACCGGTATTTTCACTGGCAGTTTCTCCAGAACCCCTTAAATGACAATGCCTGGAATATGGTTCTCCTCTTGTGCCCTGGGCAAATCTTCCTCCACGTTCGGGTTGAGGTACAGGAAGAGCTCTGCAAGGACGAGAGCGGTGCTTACCGCATCCTGCTGCCCTGCACTAATATATTACACATCATTGCCAAATCCCAAGGGAAAATGAAACACCAGGGAACAGATTCTTCTTGTTAATTGCAAAGTACTTTTCATGTGAGCCTGCAGATTGTGACCAGCATGAGGGTTTTTGTTTTTGCTGGTTTTGAAGGAAGGGCTTGTTTAATGCTGCAACAGCATTCAGAGCATCTCTGGGACCAGAGAGCATTCCTATCTGCTCAACATAGCTCTGTAAGATCTCTGTGCCTATTTCTAAAACAGAGGCTCTGACTCACATGCACTGCTGCAGAATGTTAATGCAAAATCTGCAGTGGTTTAGAGCAGCTGGTGAGGAAGAGGGAAAACCTAAGGGTCACTCTTTGTACCCAACATGGAGCTTGAAATGCTCCATGCTGGAATCCAGGTCAAACTGTTTACACGGTGCCTGCTCTGGCTG